GAGCACGGAGGTTGCGCCCGCATGGAGGTTCTCAAGGCAGCCGCAGAGCAGATTAGAATTTAGCTCTCGGCCGGCTTTTTATGGCTGGGATTATTTGAGATGTAGATAGAGTTTTGAGCACTTGGTCCACCCATCATACCATTAGTATCCCCTTGATAGTACGGGCTTGTCCTATGACTCAATTTCAAAATATAAAATGAATTAAACTAGCTCTTGGAGCCGTTGCAAGCCATCCATTCGAGTTGGGGGGTCTTCTCCTTTGTTTGTTTGCATCCACGATTAAAGATATATTGTCAAACACTTGTCAAAGCCATTAGTCTTTTAATTATGTGGTCAACATCACCAAAACCTACTTAAAACTTGATTGCACTTACAGGAACACATTTGGATTTCCAAATCCATTTGAGAGGCTTGGGAGGAGTAAGACATGCAAACTGATGCTGATAGTATCTCCTTGAGTTGTAGGTGCTAGTTCCCAAATAAAAGCCCATACATCCACTTCCAGATCTGTAGCACTAGACTGCAAAGATAACAGATCCCCCTGAAGGACCTGAAGCTCATTAAGAGCATCTCTCGTCATAGGAATCCTAAAAAGATCAATGAGATTATCCTGGCTCCTAGCTGAAGCAAGAGAGATACTTTTATTCTTGGAAAGTTCAAACAGGTTAGCAAACTTAATAGAGAAAATGCTATCTAGCAAGAGATCATTCCAAAGGCTGACACTGTCACCAACAGCCGGGGTGCAGCATGCAATGCCTCTGTAGGTAAGGCGTGATTGGTTGTAGACCAAGCCTTGAGCCAGGATGGCCAGGCTACGCAGGACCAAAGAAGCTGGGTTGAGTTTGTGCAAATGGTCGTGTTTGGTTGTCTTTGCTGTTGGTCTAGTACGAGACGGGATTGTGTTTGGTTGCATGCATGCATCCGTTTTTTGGGTGTCTGACGCATGGGTCCCTGCATCCCGGTGAATCAAGTCATCCTGCACTATGAGGGAAGGAGAAATCCGTAAGACGGAGGCGCTCGGGATGGAGGAGGACAAATGAATGAAAAGATGCAGGCAAAAGGTGCATATGTCCTTCTTCTTATAAGCCGTACTTTTTCAGCCAACGAACAATATTTTTTTTCCACAACAAATTAGCTAATAATACTTTTAGCCATGACTTATCAGCCAAACGAACAGGGCATATGTCCTTCTTCTTATAAAATTTATCAAGCTGCTTGAGGAAAAGAGCTTCGTTTTGAAGTGTCAGGTTTATTACCCCGAGGCCACCTTTACTTTTAGGCGTCATAACCAGGTCCCAGGCAGCCAGGTTATAGCCCTTCCTGTCAAAATCATTCCCACGCCATAAACAATTCTTCCTGAGTTTGTCAATCTCATCAATCACAGTAACAGGCAGCTTCAAGGAGCACATAAATAAGTAGGAAGAGTTGAGATGACAGAATTGACTAGCTGTAGCCGACCAGCATATGTTAAGAACTGTGAACTGGCAGAGAGATGTCTCTCAATTCTACAGATCAGAGGAGCAAAATCTTTGACAAGTGGCTTGGTAGTTCCCAGAGGAAGACAAGGTAAGTAAAAGGAAAGGAGCCAAGGGAACAACAAAAGACATTTGCAAGCTCTGAAGCTCTTTCATTGCTCATGTTGATGGGCACTAGACATGACTTAAGGAAATTAACTTTGAGCCCAGTGGAAGCTGCAAAGGACTGAAGGATATTTTTAAGAATAAGAAGTTGGTCCTCTTGGCCTTCCATAACAACCAGTGTGTCGTCGGCATACCGAACAATTGGGTAAGGAAGGTTTTGATTCTGAGGGAAAGGAGGGATAAGGGCACCATCCCTATAAGCTTTGTTGATGACACTTTGTAACATATCAGCAGCAAGAACATATCCGCCGCCCGAAGTCGCGGTCACGGTGAGCCGAGAGCGAGCACCTCTCATCAATTCCTCGTGCCTGCTTTCAGCCTTTAAGTCCTCTTGCCGACCGCTCCCACCACCTTCCTTAATTACGGCCGTGCCGAGCTCCAATTTTGGAGCTTTGCCCCTCGCCACCGCCGCCATTAAGGCCCAACCCGCCTCATGGTGGCCAGCTCTAACCTCGCCATCTCACGCCGAATAGCCCCGCTTAGAACCCCTCTTCATCGTATGCGACGCTTAGATGCATCTCTAGTGCCGCCTCCTCGCCGCTGATGCGGTCATGCCTTTGCGGTCCGCCGTTCAACTCGCAGCGCGCACGTGGCCAGCCTCGCTCGGGTCATCTCCGGCCAAGCCGGCACCTCGGTTAGGTCACTGGTGAGTCGTCGTTGCTCACCCACTACCCCTTCTGTCTTGTTGTTGCTGCGGCTCACCTGAACGCCGTCGCCATTGCTGCAGGGTGCCCGCCGTCATGGAGAGGTCCTTCTACGGCGTCCCGGCTCATGCAACCACTGCCCATCGCCTCGCGTCGACCCCTTGGTGAGATTCGGCCTCCTAGCTAGGTTGGCATGGGTCCCGGGTGGCCGGCGTTGTCACCGGTGCCACCGCTCGCCGCGCCGGAGTGCGCGAGGGAGGCCAGGGACCATACCATTGTAAAGAGGAGAGAGTACAAGGGTCTCTTTGCATAGGTGCTGTCTCTAGGAATAGTAATGTGGACTGCGGGTTGTTTTCTTCATAGTCCAGGGGCGTTTTTGCTAATATGCCAAGACGCTGGATTCCCCCCTGTCGCTCGCCACACAGAGGCCGGCCTCAAGGTGGGCTACTTTGTGGGCCGTCAGTGCGCTCTCACCACCACTTCGTCACAAGGGCTGCTACTGTGGGCAAGGTGGGAGAATTCGTTTTTCTTTTTCATAAGGAATTAGAAATAGTTTTCTGATTTAATTTTAAGCTGATCTTTGGTAAATCATATAAAATCATGTAGGTATCCAAAAATTGTGCAACAAATTTTGTTAAGTTCCTAAAATTGTGCTCTATCTGTTAGTGCATTTAGTTCATATATATACATGTTGATACCTGGAGCTATTAAATCATTTGAGAGTGTTTAGTATTATTAGGTTAAAAATTATAGGAATTTTTGTGGTAAATTGGTGATAGCTTTAATCCTGAAATTTTTGTGGTAGTTTTGTGATATTATTATGTGCTCACTGTAATTTTTGTAACCCTAGAATAGACTACTTAATATGGTAGCTAAATACCCATTAAGGTTAAAGGAATAATGTCATGATATTGGTTTATAAAAGTTAAGCACTTGTAGGGTGAGCTTGAAATATATTTGGTAGAGATAATGATTAGCTTAGTATTTTAGTCATCAGAGATAGCTTAGTAGCTTAGCATGTGTATTCTTATTTTAAGAGTTGTTGTTGCCAAAATACTAAGTGTTGCATCATTATTGCATGCATGTAGAGAACGAGTTGGTGGAGTTCGTGACCGCCGGAGAGCAAGAATATGAGGAGGTGATCGAGGAGTACGAGGAGGAGGTTCTCGTATAGGAGGAAGCCCTCCAGCCACCGACGACTGACATAGCTAGCAATCTGTCTGCCCAAGGCAAGCCCTGGTGCATAACCCTTATTTTGAATGATTACTGGATATATATATATATGTGTGTGTGATGTGCATTTACGTTATAGGATTTATATTGAAACTACATGCATAGATAACCTATCTATGAGTCCTACTAGCATAGGTCGAGTAGCTGCTATGCTTGGGCTATCGGTAGCGTGAGTAACCTCGCCACTACTCACAATAGGCGTTATTATTATTACTCTCATGATAAAATGGTGAAAGGAAATGGAGACCGGGCGGTGGATATGGTACGGGTATTGGTGGGTGTAATAGGTTGTGTCCCACGGCCAATGGGGCATAGCTTGGTTACATTGTTTTCCTCGTCTGTGTTTGGTTAAGGACCGTCTGCTGATGTGGATTCTAGTCAGTCACGACTTATTATCCTAAGCACATACTTGCTTATGGGAGCGGAAAGACTCGCTGCTCTCTTGTCGTGGGTTTCAGCTCTTTTCGGACCGACTAATTAGAGACGGGATGGTGGAGGTCTAAGCACCACACCGAGTCCGTGACTCGGTGAGTGGGGGCTTAGAGTCCAAGTTTGACGGGGGCCTAGACCCCTTGATAGGAGAGTGGTGGGTTGGTCTTGCTTGTGCTTGGGGTACAAGCGGACGGTATTTCGGGTACCCACTAGGATACATTGGTTTGTGAATCATCGTGTGATACGGTACGACTTGGCTATGGTCTAGCACCGTAGTAATAACTGAAAGATGAAAGATGGTGAAATGGATCTGATTGTTCAACTCCTGCTTGAAAGTAGAACAAGTGCTTACATAGAATGGTTAGCTAATGAACTAATCATGACTGCTAATAAAACACATACATAAGGATTCAATACTAGTAATGCTTTTCACAAAAAGAAAACCCATCAAACCATAAAGCTTATCATATCCTTTGGAGTCGTGAAATTATTCCCACTAGTCGGATAAGTCTTGCGAGTACATTGGGTACTCAGGGTTTATTTACCCCTGTTGCAGGTGTAGCTTGAGGAGTGACTGTTGTGTGGAGGATTCTTCTGGTAGGCGCAGATGGATCCTTGTATCTTATCATTAGATGTTTATTTTAATTCCGCTTTTTAAATTCCACACTCTGAACTTGGTATTGTAATAATGTATATCCGAGAACTCTTGTTGTATGAAATGGACTAAGAATTGTAAACTCCATCTCATTATTGGATCCCGGATGAAAAACGTGGAGTGTTCGAGTTCTCCGCTGGGGTGTGCTCGATAGAACCGTTCGTTGTAGCCAACTTTTGGGGTGCTTAGTGTCTGGTGGAAGACGAGCGCCTCAGAAGGCGTGCTATTTTGGGCGGTTCTGCCACAACCACT